TATTTCAAATGTGGTTGCCCCCATAGATGCCTAAAAAGGAGGTAACAATACAAATTTTGTTTTTTAGCCCCTTTCTCAAAGGTCCCAACATCTCCTTTCACCCCGGGGTCAGTATGTTCCAAAGATCCCTTTTCCTTTACCCTCATCAACCTTCATAACAAACAAGGACATTTTTACCCATTTTGGTCCTCTTATTTTTATATCTTTATCCTTTACGCTGAGCCACATTTGCTATTTTAGTTCCTGCTCAGACATTTTGGAAAGATTGTTCTGCAGCATTTTGCCCATGCAACACTGCTGCTGCTGATTCTAGATTCTATACAGCTTTGCCAGAAGCAGGTTTCTTGAGGAAAGACAATGAATGGCTGCTGACTTTAAAACTGACATGACTGAATCAGATATTTTTGTATCTTCCAAGACCTTAAAAGTTTGATTGTTAAACTGTGTAACATTCTATATTTATATTCTCTAGCTGAGTTTTGCACAATTGAAGTGCAAATATCATGCTACCTCTCCCCCCAAAAATATGTACCCTGCAGTATTTTCAAATTGTTATCTTTTGCAGACTCAGCAATGGGAGCGAATGGCTCTTCCATGGCAAAGATGAGGTAAGGGCTTGCATATTTTTCTCAGATATTGAAATATGGACTGTATAGCATGATAAAGGGTCATTGCTATTATGTTGCTCTTCAAATGCTTTGGTGTGCCTAAACAATTAACATTGACACTGTCAAAGCCAATTGGACATGTCTACTTGAATAAGGAAGGAGGCAAAATAGATTTAAACTTTCTTCTGAGAAGAAAAAAGGAAACTTCTGAATGAATGATTGGAGCTGATTATCAAGGAACAGCTCTGGAACGAGAACACTCAAGTGAGTGGTGTTGCTCCTTTTGTTAATGATTCTCTGCCTGCTTTCTTCCCCCAGACTGCTTCTGTATTTTGGTAAATAAACAGATGATACCAAATATGGGCAGCTTTCTACTTTTCTATTCTCTGAAGCTTTGGAAAAAGAAAATGAGTATATTCATTCATTTCAAATAAGTTTAGCCCATTTTTCTGCTTGAAAAACATCAGGTAGCTTCTTCAACCTGCAAATTCTATGGACCTGCATCAGCAGAGGAAGAACATAAAATAAATTTATATAATTTCATTCTGGGGATTGAAGCAGGAAGAGTCTCTTTTCAGGTTTTCTTTTCATATTCAAAAGCAGGTTGAATAAACAGATGATTTCATATATAAGACACTCAGTCAAAAGTAGGTCTTCTGAAGTAGATTCCAGTGGGGCCCGCTGCTAGGTAAGTGTGCCTAGAGTTGCTCTGTGGATTATATAATTCACTCATTCTCATTGCAGTTAATTTCTTAGCTATTGTTCAATTTTAGTATTTATTTTCCTTCATCCCTCAATTTTCATTCGTATTCTAGTTCCTTAGGGGGATGTTTACAACTTTACAGTGGTTTTGGAGTATTTGTGAGGAAATTATTGGATTCGTATATTAAATACAAGCTCATTTCTTACTCTAATTTTTTTGATCTATCAGTGACAGCATTTTTGCTGATCTTGCAACTGAAATGGGTAATCCTGCGTTTTTTGTTTCCGTTTTGTCCGGCTCCACAGGATGAGATGCACACCTGGCTCCTGGGATTCAGCACAGCAATAATTGACTCCCAAAGCATTAAATCCAAGGCTCAGAGCCTCCCTCTGCCTCCTATCACCACCACAGATGTGAACCTGACCAAGAAAGATAAAGAGAAGAGATTCAGCTTCTTTCCCAAAAAGAAGTAGCCATCTGCTTCAGTCAGATGCCTTTGTGCTAAGGTGCATTGTGAAAAACTGCATGCACGGGTTCTCCTTGGACATCCCTGGTACCACCCAGCACTGTTCCCCACACAGATCCCACTTCCTCCTTTTTGTTTTTTTACCACATCTCCCCAGAGGGCACAAAGCCAATGTTTCAGGGAAGAAAGCAGCATCCTTGCTTCAGGACCGTCAAGCCGTGTTCTCCAAAACAGAGCTGGGAGAGGCATATTCTTGGATGTCTGACCAAATGGGCATCACTCCAGAAAAATACTATTTAAGAGAACAGTGCTGTGTAGCTTTTTAGGAATGTTACAGAGAAAAGGAGTGGAGCGGAGTTCTGTCAGGCCAAAGATGATGAAAAAAGAAGTGTGCAGTCCTGAAGCAGTTTCCTTTTCTTTGTATCGCCAGATCACTACCAAAGCTCAGGATTCTATAAGCCAATTTCCCCATCTCCAGTTGGCATAGAATCATCACATGGAATTTAGATAGTTAATATTCTCCCTCTCCCTCCTCTCTCAAAGGCAGCATGCCTTCATCCAGCTCCTGGCTCATTTCAGCATTCATGCTAGATTGTCAGGATGGTGTTTCTGGAGGCCAAATGCTTCATGTTGTGGAGAGCTGCATTCTAACCACACATGTTGTTCATGTCATAAAGCACAGTACGTTTTCAACTCTACACCCAGTAAATTTCAGTCTACACCCAATAAATTGCAGGCAAAATCCCCAGATACTCATAGTAGGTTCAGAGTATAGCCAGAAAATTATCTATATTCCAACTTATGAACTAAATTGTTTGGAATTGAGATGTTTGTAGATATACGCACCCAGGAAATAAATTGTATTCATTTCTACAGAACACCACGAGCACAATCCAGCTAATACAACTTATGCATTTCTCCCACTAGCTAAATATAGAGAGTTCAGTGGGCCTAACTTGCAACCAATCTGTGCTGGGTTTTGCTCCATGTTATTTAGTGAGATTCTAATTAATTCCATTCTTTATGGCAAAGTATTGCAACTAGAATGCAGGTGCCACGCCTGCCTACAAGCTTTCTAAAAACATCTGTCCTGTATTGGCTCAGCTTGCCAGAAGCAAATGGCTCTTCTGTTGTTCCTTTGTGGAACATGTTGTGCTGAGCATGCGCTTGCCTCAGCTTCTCTCTTCTGCAGCAATGTCTGTTGTGGTGTGTTTGTGAATGGCTCTTTAAAATAGATACTCCTCACCCTCTATGAAGTATCACAAGCCCCTAACCTAAAGCACGAATTCAGTGCAAAGAGCATCCCAGCTGAATTGCTTATTGGAAAACAGTCTTTGAAATCCAGTTGTATTAAGAGTTTAAGAAGCCTGTGGGACTGATGTTCCTACAATGGCCTTTTGGCAAGTGTGCCATTCTTGATGGGGATTTTCAGTTCTTACAAAACTGGCCAAACTTTAATTCTCTCTTCAACATCCAACCCCTAGGGCTCATTAAACTTAGTATTTTTGGTTTGGGATGATATTAGACCATTCTAAAAGTGCCTTAACCTAGGGACATTTCATGATTGCTTCTGGAGTGAGCAAATTCAATAAGCACCATGCACAGTAAGGTCTGGGTTTTGAAAGGATGCCGTAAGTCGAGTTTTACAGCTAAAAAGAATACTCAAGAGGGAACCATCTCTTTGCTTAATATACATTGCAGTGAGTGTGGCTATAGGTCCAAAGAACCAAGGTTTTAGATTCTTCAGCTCCTTTTGGTTGTCTCTCAAAATGCTGTGCTCTTCCAAATTGCCTGGATTGTAATGGGTAGGCAATAAACTCTTACTAACGCAATGGGGAGATCGAAACTACATTGGATATACTAGTGTAATTTATTTTTTAAAAGTAGTAATTATAATGGTCTGCATTGTGAACTTTCCCTTCCAAAACTATTCTGAAGCATCACTGCCAACTTTCTCCCAGTATGTGTTTAGGAGGCACAGAAAGCTACTAATTTATATGATGGCTACTTAACCTTATATAAGGCCTCATAAAATACCAAACTTAAGTTTGGGTTTGTCGGTCAAATAAACCAGTCATTGTGAGCACATGGGCTCATCCAATTGAGCAGTGTTATTTGTGGTTTAGCCCCCTCCAGTCAAGTAGAAATCAAGTTTGCTTATTTCCAGTCACTTCTGGATTAAGGGCATTTATGATTTTAATCCATATCAGGGGACAGGAAGAAAGTGCTCTTCTCTGCTCTTTCAATCTATGCCTATAGGAAAAAAAGTTATTCTAATCAGCACACTTTTACTAGAGCACATATCAAGTTAAGCCAAAGAAGGGAAGCATGGGGTTGTAATTTCACTATAGGTTTTTTTTAAACCTGATATAAAGCTATTCTCAGGCAACAGGGAAGGAGTAATACAGATTCAGCAAATTTGTTTTTATATTCAAAGTATTGTTTAAGATTGGCATATGCTCAACTGATTCATTTGCAAGAGTCACCAGAAGACTTTTTATTGAACATTTTGCTTAAATGCATTTCACTTGTACATTATAGCACTCAGTGGGAATATGTACAGGAAGAGAGAAGTGCCATCATCATTGCTTTTTTGGAGGACATTTTCACCTGTCACTCCTGAGTTTAAATTTGTAGTGCACTGCCCATTTTCAGATAACTGAAATAAAAATATGATTAAGATACTCTTTGAGGCTATTCCTGCTTTATGAGGACCACTGCCCTGCACTGTACTACCTGCTTATAGAGAGCGGCTGTATTCCTTAGGTGCATTTTCTTCCATCCTATTTGTTTAATCTGTCATGAATTGGGTTTCTGAACCCATTATAAATCTCTCAGCTTGTAGGCATTGGGTAGAGTTGACTGTGACTCACAGCAATAGGCTCTTACCTATTACAGACCAAAAGCATTATCCCATAGGATCCATTTCCTGTCTGGTGTTTGGCAACCTTATCTTATCTGGGCTTTTCCCTCTTCATTCAACTGCTTTTCACAATCCCATTTATGCAAGTCAGCACATGTTAGAAGGGAATGTCATGTGATCAGGCTCAGAATACATATACTTCAGAGTGCCAAGTAGGCCAAGGCCTCTCCTACGGGATCTGGGAGCTGGAATTAATCTCTTTCCACAGCTAGGCATCACGTTCTGCCTGCTTCCAATGTGCTTCCACTGTCCAGAGAAAAGAGCTAAAGCTTCAGAATGTGCTTCAGAAGCAATTTAACATTTTTTTTCTAATAAATGAACCAATAAGCTTTTCCTGGCTCTGTGATTTTTTTGGGGGGAGGGGGGGATGTTTGTGTAAGTATGTAATTTGTCTTCCTAAACCACGATGGGAACAATATACTTAAATGATCCATTATCTCAATACAAAGGAAAGGATGCTAACATACCTTACTAAGTTGTGGTGTTTTATGGTACATGTTAATGTCTTAGTGTTTCTGTGATGAAGAAATGCTTCCTGTGCAAAAGTTCATTGGGTGTTTTCTACAGGTGATTCAAGATCCACCAACACAACTCAGGATCATGTTATCCCCTTCAGAAGCTTTGGTGGTTTCATCAACTCAGGCTACAGTGTTTCACAGTTGGCATCAATTCCACATGCAACTACTTCTCAGGCGGCATTTACTCTTAGCCAAAATAATCTAACTGCACTTTAGATTCTTCTCATACTGGGAAGAGAACTTCAAAGGCTACAAGACTGGTTAGATTTGCAAGGGCAGAGAACTCTGTGCTTCGAGAGAGAGAGAAAGACCCAATCTTGTTTCTATCATCAGGTTGCAAGAGATTCACAACCACTGCTTCTCAAACAACAATACTCCAATCGCAAAGAGAAAAAGGTGGTGTTATGACAGAGGCTATGGATCCGTAGGATGCAAACTGTCAATTTGCCTTGGAAAGAGGAAGAAAATATCTCAGTCTTGGAGTGGTTACCATTTATTTCCTCATGTTGGAATAGGAAGAGAACTTTTTATCTCATAGGATTTCTTTTGCTCAAAAGGTATTTTAATGCAAGACAAATTATACTAAGAAGATGGGCTAAAATGAAGTAATGAAGTGACTTGAAATGGCTTAGAACCCCAATGGATTAATGCACCAGTGTCAGTCCTTGGTACTGCTCATCTTGGAGAGATCATTGATTTCAAGAGTTGCCAATCAACTTTGTAGCATTTTTTGTGCATAGGAAATGTGGTACAAAAATCAGTTATTGCAATCTTCCCCAATTATATCCCACCCGCAAACATTGAAGAGGTCAAAGCTGTATTCACTGGTCAAAAGTGGTTATTGCACAATGCATATAGATTCAAATACAAACTCTATTAGGTTGGGTATTCCTAAGCTGAGAGGCCTGGAATTAACCAAAGCCATAGTAAAATTTCTTTAAAAAAACCTTAAAGAACAATAACTTATTTTCCTAGGAGATTGAGTAATGTACATCTTGCTCTGGCTTTGTAAAGCAAAAATTTCCAAATATACCACCCCCTGAAGGGAGGTACATATTCAAATGATGATTGATGTGTATTGTCTCTGCTTTGACTGGAAGCTCCCTGATTTTTCTAAATGTATTAAGAGTTCTGCCCAATAATCCTGCCTGGTGCAGTGTCAGTGGCATATCAGATCCATGTTCAAGTTCACAGATCTTTAAAGAGAGCGTTTAAAAAAAAAACACCTCGGTTTGAGGCAGTTGCACCTTCCCAGAAATTTCAAGCATGATGTGGAACAGGCAAGTAGTAATTCTGAGTAGTAATCCAAGAAGAGGTGGAGATTTGAGAATTTAATGGCACGGGAACAAGAGATGTGGGCGTTCAGCTGGTAGAATTAAGGGTCTGAAATTTCTCTCTCAAGTTTTTTACCAGGTTGTTTTGGCTGCTGGTTTTCTCCCACCATGCTTCCTGAACATCACCCTCATGTCTTTGACGTTCTTCTGAGTCTTGATATGACTTGTACCACTCCACCAGCTCTTTGGGAGAAAGCTTCTCTTGGTCTGAAGAGGAGAGAATCTGTGGCTCTCTTTCATCCGCTTTAGCTTCATTAGTCCCCTCAGGCAACTTCTCTATCACAATCACATGCTGGTTGTTCTCCAGTGATGCCTTTGCTGTGACACAAAATTCCTTTGGCCTATCACAAACAAGTCCCTTGGGGATGGAATCCAGAGAGGACTTTCTCCTGCAGCTCTGTTTGTCCCATTGCTGACTTTTTACGTCTGTTTTTGCAATCACCTTTGAGCCCTGGGATTCTGCCTGCATCTTAGCATCATCTACCATTTTCTCAGGTGCCGAACAACTTCTGTTGACTAGCGGGGGTCTGCATTTCTCAATCGCCACCTGACAGGAATATCTGGACCTCAGCTCCCGTACGTCGGGCCAGTCGAATTTCTCAGTCATGATGGGGCTGAGGGGACTGTGAGAGAGGGTGTAGGAGCTGGTGGGGGAAGACAGGCTGACGGAGCTGTTGCTGGAAGAGAAGCGCTTAGGGGACTTCTGACATGTTGAGGAAGAGGAAAGAAGGCCCCGTGAGCTAGCCTCCTGAAGCACAATTTGTTCATAGTTGGGGAGACACAAGGGAGACTTCTTTTGGCCTGAGCAAAAAAAAAAAAAAAAAGTCAGAATAAGGCAATGTTGGGGCAAATAGAGGGGGATTTATTGAACCAACCCACTCAATGGAATTGGGAAGCTCATTCTCCTGCAACCTAACACTTTTACCTAATTAGCAGGAGCTGCACTCACAAATCAGGTATTTACAGGATAGCAATGGAAATTCTGGTCCCAATTGTGGTCATAAGTCGAGGACAACCTGAAGTACAATCTTATGGGGGTTCTAAACAATATTTAGAAGCTTCAAATGACACACAAAACAGGAATCAAAGATGTTTCTAGAGTTCTGCTTTTCAGATCCCTATTGCAGTTTTAATCCCTGGCTAGAATTCTTTTCTGGGTTCAGTTCAAGGCAGGATATTATGCACAAAACTTTAAATGAGTCATTCTAAATCCCTGTCCACAAAATTAATCAATTAAAGCTTCCAATATTTAAAATAAGCTGGGAGCAAACTATTATCTTAAATGGCTTGAGACCAGCATGTTGAAAGGTCTGGTTCTTCCTCATGTATTTATTCTGCTCCATCATCAGAGATCTTGTTCTCCATGCTGCTGCCAGCAAAATGACATCTCCATAGACGGTTGAGTTTCCAGGATTTCCTGAACTGTGGCATCTAGAGCCTTGGTGGCACAGGGGTTAGAGTGCAGTACTGCAAGCTACTCCTGCTGCAGTTTGGCAGATCAAAACCCACCAGGCTCAAGGCTGACTCAGTCTTCCATCCTTCTGAGGTGGATAAAATGAGGACCCAGATGGTTGGGGGCAATAGGCTGACTCTGTAAACCACTTAGAGAGGGCTGTAAAGCACTATGAAGGGGTATATAAGTGCTATTGCTATCTTAGTTCATTATGTCCCTTCTCAAAGAGATAGGGGCAGGTATTTCCCCGATGACCTGGCTTTTAAATAGGCTATTTGTTCGACCTACTATGTGATACAGGTAGTCCTTGACCTACAACCATTCATTTAGCCACTATTCAAAGTCATAACCACACTGAAAAAGTGACTTATGACCAGTCCTTATACTTGCAACCATTGCAACATCCCCAAGGTCACGTAATCAAAATTTAAACACTTGGAAAGTGACATGTATTTTATGCTGGTTGTAGCATCCTGGGTTCATGTGATCACCATTTATGAGGAAGATTAAGATCACCATTTATGGAGGAAGATTAATTCATTTAATGACTGCATAATTTGCTTAACAACTGCACTCATTCATTCAACAACTGTGGCAAAAAAAAGATAATAAAACTGGGTACAAACTCACTTAACAACCACCTGTTTAGCAATGAAAATTCTGGTTCCAATTGTGGTCATACGCTGAGGACTACCTGTAACTCCTAGCTGAGCTTGGCTGATCTCAAAAAGCTAAACTGGGTTGGGTTTGGTTAGCATTTAATCAGGATTAATTAACGAAATCCTGAGGATCTGAGCTAGGCTGGAAAGGCAAAAAGAAATCCCAATAGAAGGCAATGACAAAACTCTACACTATTGCCAAGGGAAAAATTTTGTTAACATTTTCCTTATGATAATGTGCTAATGTTCCCCATGTTACATTTTTATATGGTAGGATTTTAACATTGCAAGCCACCTGGGAATTCTACTAAAACAAAAAGGTACGATAAAAGTAAATTCATAATATGATACACCAAGAGATCAATTGCCTACAATTTTTAGAGGCAAAGCATTTCTGTGAGCAAAATGTCTTTTCTTTCTTTTATTAAGGTAAGGACAGGCAAGCCTGTGGAACAGACGAACAGTAATAATCTCCCTTTCTTTCTCAGCAAGCGTTGCTTCTAGGTATTGCTATAATTAAGATGATAGCCACAAATGCCTTCTTGGTCCTACATACCTTTTTCTCTCTTAACCACTCCCTGTTGGCCAGTGGAGGTGTTTCTCTGCATCTCCTCCTCTACTTCAGCAAGTCGCCTACGCATGGGTGGTTTCTGGTTCTTAATTCGGAGGCTGTATTGGCGGGCCAACTGGTAGACTTTGTTCCTCACTTTCTCTGTCAGCTCAGCCTCCGTGAGATGAGCCAGCTGCATGATGTGAGGGGGCACCTGAGGGAAACTCTGGTCTTGATCACAGCTCCCTAACTCTTGAGCTGCTTTCCAGGGTAATCTGGATGGCATGGTCTGCTCCACAGGAGCCTTGTTCTCAGGAGGGGGCACCACGGGCTCCTCCTCTACTATGTCCCCAAGATCCTCGTCCTCCAGGATAAGAAGTGGTTCGTGAAAGTCAAAGCCATTCTCCTGATTTCCTAGCCGGGCTTTCAAATAAGACTCAGTCTGGCCCAGGCCCCCATTTGCTTTGTGCTCCCTACAGTCTTCCGTCCTCTTTGGTTGCTCCATCTCCTCCCATAGTTTAATCATCTCACAAGGTGGCCTGAACTCTGCTTCAGTGATAGGCACTGGATTTTCCTCACTGGTCGTCTCCAAATGGGGAAGCGGGAGTACAACACCGGGCCTGTTTGAAAGCATCAAGGATGCTGCCTTGCCTGCTACACTATTGTCCAAGAGGGCCGGTCTCTTCCTCTTCAGCACCTCCTGCCCAGGCTCTGGCTGGGGAAGACTGTTTATCCGAAAAACAGAATTTCTCACCAGCCCTTTGGGAATGAAGGAGAGGCTCTCCCTCCGCTTGACACTGAAGTTAGCATCCTGATGCTCAGCATAATCATAGTAATTCTTGATCTTGTCCAGCAGCAGCCGGTCCTGGTGGGACAACATCGATTCCTTCCGTCGACAAGAAGAATGGTCGGACTCAACCAGACCAGGCCGCACTGCACCGTTGCAGGCACCGTTGTAGGGTTCAGCAGAGGGCTCTTGCAGGATGCTGCAACTCTGAGAGTCCACAGTCGTGCAGCCGTTGCTGCAACACTCAGCCTTTTCGCCCCCTTCCAAACTCAGAATGCTGCTGCTCCGGCTGGCCATCTTCGGGGTGAGGTAGCCCTTCCCTTCCTCGTGGACCAAGCTATTGCGACGGGAGAGGCTGCTGGCAAAGCGCTCTGCAATGATACTGGCCTGATCTAGCACAGAAAAGGGGAGGATGCTGCTGGACTGTGGTGCATGACCATCCTCTCCCTCCTCTTCCTCCTCACTGCTCAAAGGCTTCAGTTCTTCTACATTTGCAGCAGACTCCATGTTATCTGAACCTTGATCCAGAAGCCCATGATGATCTAGATCCGGATGCTGAGGGCTCTCTTCTAGGCATTCTTCCCTATGTGAAGAAATGTCTAATACCTTGTCAAGCTCAATAGGTGATCGAACCTGGGAAAAAAATCAGAGAAAAGAGATGAAGAGAGAGAAAGAATCTCAATGACAATGATTTGTGCCTTCAGAACAGTGTTGACTCTATTAGTCCCTAAAGTTTTCTTGGCAAAATTTTCATAAGTGATTTGCCATTGCCTTTTTCCTAGGATTGAGAGAGTGCTATTGGCCCAAGATACACAGCTGGCTTTGTGCCTTAGGCAAGACTAGAACTCATCGTCTTCTAGCTTCCAGTCTGTTGCCTTAATCACTATACCAAACTGTCTCTCACTCATTCTTACCTGAATTAAATTACTGTAATGACAGTTGGATGGTTATCTATTATGAGTCCTGGTGGCACAGTGGTTAGAGAGCAGTATTGCAAGCTACTTCTGCTGCCTGCCATCTGCCTGCAGTTTGGCAGTTCGATTCTCACCAGCTCAAGATTGACTCAGCCTTCCACCCTTCTGAGGTAACTAAAATGAGGACCCAGATTGTTGGAGGGAAATATGCTGACTCTGCAAACCACCTAGAGGGGGCTGTAAACCACTGTGAAGTGGTATTTAAGTCTAACTGCTATTGCTAATATGCGACATTGTTTAGCTACTAGGAAAGTGTTTCAAAGGTCAAAGTTGTTAATTTTGACACAGAATTTTCAAAGCCATAAAAATGTACTTATCTACACCTTGGTTCATCTGAATACAGTAAAGGTAAATCATTTCACATGCTGCATCCCTTGTGGCCAACACAAATTGCCGACCAGATGGTGTTGTACATGATGCAAATAATAAGAGATAGTTAATAGGCTAAGCTTTGATCAGAGCTGCATTATCTGCCAGCATTCACCTACCTTAGGCACAGGTGACACAATCTCCACAATCCTCTCTCTAATGCTGGAAGAGTGGTCTTGTCTGGGTCCTTCCTGTGTCTTGTGGCCCTTGCCCTGAACCCAAATAGCAATGATCTTGTTAGAGGACTAAATGGTTGGATCAGAGAACAGAATCATTGTGTTTATGCTGGATTATCAGACAGGAGCAGCCAAATATCTCTATTCAGACTCTATTACCATTCTGGTGTAACTTAGTCTTATTCATGTTCCCATGTATACAACTGGGGGGAAGGGGGGGTACTCCAGCTACTGAAATATATTCAACAATGATCAAAAGTTTCTATGCAGGCCCAAGACTAATATTCCAGACCCTGGACACAACAATAAGCCAAGCAAATGGAAGGAGAACGTATGTCAGTGGGATGTCAGCTGACCTGCTGCCCAGGCACAAAGTAGTTTGCAGCCAGCCATTAAGACCAACCTTTATTCAGTTTTACATCCTACATTTAGCAACTGTACAGTTCAATCTTTTTTTTAACCTGCAGGCTGATCAATGCTTTATAATCTATGCCTTCAGTACTGAATCCAAGGAAGGGTCCAAAAGCACATGGAATGGGATTTGTCAAGAGGACGACTTAAAGGTGAACATTGTCTCGTTACTGGATGATTAATATAGTGGAACTTTCCTTGCACATTACAAAATATATATCAAAAATGGATTTTCAACAGAGACAAAGCAAACTGATCCAAGAATTCTCTTTTGTTATCAAGCGCAAATCCAGTTAGGTTGTATGGAGAGCGTAAAGTGCCAAGTCAGTTGGTAGCGCCACTTCATAGTTAAGAGCCCTACATGCAGTGCTTCTCTTTTAGAGATAGCGTCCAGGCCCTAGTTGGTTATTCCAACCCCTGGTCCAGTTCCAACTGATTAGAAGATTTTAGGGAGCGCAGCCTAAGCCATGCACTAAGCCAACATGCAGAAAGGAGACGCAGCAGAGACTCAACAGGCACCTCACCGTGCTGCCCCAGGAGAAAAGCAAAGTATTGGCCCGATAGTGCCAGCAATGGAGGACTGCCATCAAGGAGCTTGCAAAGTCTGACACCTGCTCCGTTCCTACCAGCCTGTCCTCCTCCTCCTCTTCCTCCTCCTCGTCCTCCTCTTCTTCTTCTTCTTCTTCTTCCTCTTCCTTCTCCTCAGCTCCATTCTCTTCCTCGAGCCCTGTCTCCTTCTCACTGCCATCACTTTCAGCCACCTCTTCAGAAGATTCCTGGGGAAGGGTCTGCTGATCCTCCTCTTGGGATAAGCTGTTGGGGATCTGTGGGGGTTCCCCAAACTCCAGAAGGGCTCCATCACTATCTGCATGCTATATGAAGTGAGGGTAAGCAAGGGTATCCTTTAGAAAGGTCTTGGCAAGGGGATGCTATGACAACAGGACTTCTCTTCCCTTCTCCTCCATGGTTCCATTTCTTCAAGAGCTACAGAACATGGCTTAGGCTTAGGGCAAAAGTAAGTGCCCTTCCACTGGCAGGTCGGATTAACCTTTAAGAAGTATTTTAAGGGACTGAGGGCTCACCAAAAGGCACCCATGACTTTTCATTCCTTTAAAAGGGGAGCTGTCTTCCAACCTTTTCAAAAAATTCTGAATCTTACCTTTAATCCTACTGAAGATTTGCAGCCCATAAAAAAGAGAAAGAAGGCGACAGTTAGAGGACAAAAGGCAGAGTTTTAATTTCCTTGCTCAGTTATTCATCTGGCTTACTGTGTCCCTTTTCCATTGGGGGGGGAGGGCACATAGAATCAGAAGACATGAACGATATGCAAGTTTTAAGAATATATATCTTTTCTGCAAAAGGCATATCTCTGTAGTCACTTTGATCATTAACAAGAGACTTATAATTAGAAAGAGGGGAAAAAAATGGCAAATGAGCGAGTGCAGCCGCCCACAAGCTGTGCCTGACTCCACCATTTGTTTACAGCTAATATACTACCCCCAGACAGTGTTGCCAAAATAAGGCAGCAAAAACACTACTTGTGAACCATGCAATTTCCTCCTCTCTGTAAATAAGGGCAAAATTCACTGTTGTCTCTTCAATCCCCCCCAAACCCTGCCTCCACATGCACACACGCACACAAAAATCATACTGAAAATCCAGGCCCCACTCCTTCCTCCCCACATCATCATGTTTCTGGCCGTGCCCACCATTAAAAATCAGAGGCCAAGGAATCCTTCCGAATCAAAGGCGGCTGCCAGAGCCATGTGTAAAAGCAATTCTATGGGGAAAATTCTAGAGAGAAACCACCAACTTAATCACTTGGCCTAATGATAGAGAATTGGCTTCTATTTACAAGCCAGTTCTGGGGAAGACGGGGAAAGGCAATGCTTCCTTACCTTTGTCACTCAGTTGCTTGAGGATCTGTTTTGTTGGCTCTGTGATAAAAACAACATTTCCAAGATCAGTGCGTGAATGAAGCTGTGTCAAGTACAGGAGCACCCAAGACATTTCAGAGGATGAAAGCACCAACACCAACTAGAGCCCACAGCCGCAGCCTGCCCAGAAGACAACAACTTAAAGCACCCAAGTGGAGAACCACCCCAGCGTCCTGCAGGTGGCAAGGAACATGCCTCTCAGACAGTACCATCAATTGCCTTCTCTAAGCCACCAGCATTAAGTGAGCCAAAGGGCAAGTGGTCAAAATGTTCTTGGATTTTAGAACTCTTAATGCATCACAAGGCTTATGTGAGCACGTGCACATGCTCGAAAATAATAGCCTCAAGCAATTCGGTCCTACTCTGCAGTCGGAATACCTAATGCCAACAATGCTCTCTTCCCCACAAGCTTGGGTCCTGCCTGTGAGATGGGAAGGAAATGGAAAATGACTGTCCTAACAGTGACCTCTTTTCCGTATCCCAAAAGTGAGGCTGCCAAAGTCGCTGTCCTCTTTCATGAAGCCAGGGGTGGTGAGTTTTGCTGCTGCTGTGGGACAACAAGGAGCCTCTTTCCCCCATGGATGCAAGTTGGGATCTCTCCCTGTCTTCATGAGGTGATTCTTGTCTTCTCTGCTATGCTCCCTAGAAAGCCCCAAGGCTGCCTCTGGATCTAGCGAGCATCTAAGTGATTGGAAGGAATACTGACCTTGTAGAGAACCTTCCACAAGATAAGCATGAGGGGAGGGGAGGAGTAGGGAGGGAAGGAGAGGAGAGACCTTGGTTCTGTTGTCTCTGGCAGCCCAAAGTACAATGTTCCTAGAGATACAGAGCTCCATGGCCAGGTGGGAAAGAATATTTGTGCAATGGGGCCATCAACTTCAGTACTGACATATAGGAAAGCTTATTCCATTTTCCAATGGGAAATACTATTTCCTCCCAAATTGCTTTGATCCCACTGCAATTGGCCCTTGGATGAAGGCTGGTTCCAATGTGGAAAACTACGTAACCTTAAGCACCCAGGAGACAGGCCATCCCGGGATCAGGGCAAAGGAGCTCTGTGGCCGATGCCATAGAGGGACTCTCATCATTCCTTGTACTGAGGGATTCATTCTGCTGTTTAAAAGACCCACAACTTTAAAAGGATTTGGGGGGGGGGGGGGGGGGGAAGCAAAGCCTGAAAGAACAAAAAGGCTAGAACTTTGTGCACAACAATGTCAAGCTTTACATTCTTAGCTGCTCAAAGCCCTGCTTGGTCTTTTTGGGGGTTCTTGATATATTAAGAAACATTTCCTTTATATCTTGAAAAGTCAAAAGAACTAGAATTGCTCATTACAAAAAAGGGGAAAAAAATGGAATTCTCAGCGTGTTAGGTTTGGTATGGTAGTCCTCAACTTATGACCACAATTAGGTCCATTATTTCCATTGCTAAGCAAGGAGATTGTGAGGTGAGTCAAGTCTGATTTCATGACCCTTTTGTCACAGTCGTTAAGCAAATCACTGCAGTAAATGAACCATGTGATTGTTACACGAATCTGACTTCCCCTGTTGACTGACTGCTGGGAAGGTTGCAAATGGCCATCTCACACGACCCAGGATGCTGCAACTGTCGTAAAAAACCCAAACTTTGATTACATGCCCATGGGAGATACTGTGATTGATTGTTGTAAGTGTGAGGACCGGTCACAAGCCATGGTTTTCAGTGTCCTTGTAAATCTGATCACCAAATGAATGGTTGTGAGTCAAGGACCACCTGAATTAACCACTTCAATTGTGGTGAAGTACTGGATGCATAACCCTCTGAGTAAGAACTACCTTAACCTGCTGGTAGGGACTGAGAGGTATGTTCAGCCACAAATATGCACGCAAAACTACACTAGAAAAATGCTGGACCCAATTCGGAAGCTTTCCAGCCCTTTGTTTTCCATTCCACACCACCTGGATGCAGACCCACATGCCAAACTAAAGGGAGCTCGCACCCGATTTTCTGCGACTTTTAGGACCTGCCGCAGCTGTGGAGTTGTGGAGTCCATCTAAGAGCTTCTCAGCACTGGTTTTGCCACAGTATGGTTCTATGAACAGGACATAAGATGTTAGCACCAGTGGTTTTAGCTGAACGGTTCACCAAATGAAGAGGCATTTTAAAGCTTGCCAAATACTCAGCAAAGGAATGCTTTCCTTCCTCTTGTGCAATGCTTGTTTTCCATCAAGTGAAAGTTATAAAAAGGAGCTCTCATTGATAGGAAGCTCACGTATATGGAAAAGTAGAGTGCTCAAACGTTTCTTTGCCAAACGGTTTGTTTGGCTTTAATTTTTATCTGTTACTGTTTTCTCACAGGAATGAAAAGAAGGTCCGAGGACCCAATCCCTTCACTGGCTCCTATATTGACCATGTTTGTTGTCTTTGCAAAAAAACAAGAGTTCTGCTTAGTCTGGCATTCTACCCTGGAAGCCCATCAACCTCATGAAATTGTCAGTGTGGGTAGATAATCAAGATTTTAACAGTTCTATCCACATATGAGGTTCTCATATGATTAGAAGTGTGACAGAAAGAACTGATCTACATCATCTGGCTTCACCCCCCGCTGGCTCTTGAATCCTGTCATCTATATATTTGAAGATGAGTTTGTCAACTCAAAATATTTCTATGGTCTTTTTAGAGTTGCCAACAGAAAGGGAGGAGGGAGCAGTGCAGCAGCTTGCAAACCAAAACTGCATTCCATAAGTAGTTTTCAAAGACAGTTACTAGGTGACCGAAGTTTCTGCCGTGCAAAATTCAAACTGGAGACCATGACTGATGACTCTTGGCTATGGATGTGTCCCATTGGAGAATACGAATTACGATACACCCAGGGGTGGGGGAAAACAAGGGTCAAGAATGACAATGAATTATGTGTCTCAGAGTCGGTTATACCCAGGAAATGCCGGACATTTTAACTCCCTATAAATCATTTTGAAGTTTTGGAAGTTTGGCTTGAGACTCATGATTTAAATGAGGGTAACTGCTGGAATCCTGCCAGAATTCTCATATGAGGAGCCTGATGTGGATATGTGGGTGCCCCACCTTATTTAGAAAGCTTCATGCTCAGGATGGGGTAGAACCAGAATCAACAGGAAGCACCTGCAAGTGTTTCAATAAAAATTCAGCAACTACCACTGCTGCTGCCTAAACATGGAGACAAGGCAACTGGTTCCTTTGGACAATAGGTTTGTAACTCTTAAAATGATCAATGTTAAGCCCCTTTAATATTCTAGAAATATGATAAATTCAAATTTGCTCGCCTAAATCATCTCATGATGGGAAAATTCTCCTCCCTCCCACACAGGCTGCTGAACCACAAGGGCCAGCTTCCTTTATCACTAGCACATCCACCAAAGATTAAAATCTATACGTTAAGTCTTTTGCAATACCTTTATCAGAGCACTGAACTAAGCTTGACTCACACACATCTTTGGGTAAGGTAAAGAGACTGAGTAGGCCCAAATGGAATTTAGATACTCATGCATATTGAAACAGAAATTACAACATCCAAATGTCATTCAGTAAAACATAACCAGCTTGGCCAGTCTTGTAGTAACTTGCAGGTTTTCCAATACACCAAGCTTTGGAACAAGTCAGAAAGGAAACGGGCCCAGTAACTTAACTTAGCAGCTGCTTCGGTCAAAAGATGGGAGGCAAAACATGCTCATTTCCTGTAAGGGCCCTGTAAAGTTGCCTCAAAATTATGACAGTCAAAATACAACAATCACACTTAGGTAATAAATGTTATCTAATTATTCTGTTCCATTGGGTTTTGATAGAAACTTGGCCCAAGTATTATGGAGGAATAAAAAGTATCTCATAGAAGAGGGAATTTTATTTACATCCCCCCCCCCCCCCCCCCCCGAAAGAGGTGGGACAGATTAAAAGGTACTAGCCCAGCCCAAACATTTCCATTTCCAAAAAATAAAAATTACTTCTGAGGTAATTTACTTGCTGGATCCCTCCATTTCTGGCTAGCTCAGTTATGGATATAACCTGCAGCTTCCCAGGTCAATTCACCACTTCCTAACATATTCTGAATCACCATTTTCCCAAGGAAATTAATCCGTCCTGATTCAAAAGCCTCCCGTTTCCAACATATATTCAATTAGGATCAATTAGTTTTGCAGAACAAATCAATCAAAACAAGAATAAGATATTTATTCCCATTCACAATGTCGGAAAATGCAAGCTGCTAAATCCTTGTTTTTAGAGATGGAAGAGAGGTTGTTCAGGGACCAGATTATCTTTCATCTCAGATATTATGCAGACAGATATTGTGTCATCTCGATTTAAATGGTCTAATTTCAAACCGTAGTAAGAAATTCCTAGGCAGCACTAATAACAATCACATGATATGCTAAGGACTTCTGGCCATTCCAATTCCCAACAGACTGCAAGATCATCTTTTGGAGCTAATACAGGTAGTCCTTGACTCACAGCAATTCATTTAGTGACCGCTTAAAGTTATAATGGCCCTAAAAAAATGACTTAATGACTGTTTTTCCCACCCATTACAGCATCCTCATGGTCACATGATCAAAATTAGGATGCTTGGCAACTGAGTCACATTTGTGACAGTTGTAGCGTCCCGGAACCATGTAATCAGCTTTTGCAACCTTCCGACAAGCAAAGTCAATGGGGAAGCCAGATTCACTTAACAACCAGGTTACTAGCTTAACAACTCCACTGATTCATCTAAAAACTGGTAGCAAGAAAGGTCATAAAATGGCGCAAAACTCAATATCTGTCACATTTAGCAACAGAAATTTTGGACTAAATTGTGGTTCTAAGTTGAGGATTGCCTGTACAATGATGTATGACACATCACTGCTGGACAAACCATGCAGCTGAGAGACCATAAAGATTTGTGGGCCATTCTCAAGCTCATGCCTGTTGCTGAAGATCATTGGCATAGTGTCTCTAAATCTTTTCTCTGTTCTTTGTAAAACTGCACTTTACACCAAATCATTTTAGTAACCGCACCTCAACTGCTAAATCACCATGCTGCAGAAACTGAGGTGATAAAGAGTACCCCATCATCAAGGGAAAATTCCCAGAGAAGTGTCCAAAATATACAAATCTATACTCCTCACCTGCTCTGTATAGGAGATGTGCCAGAGGTCATTGTATCTTGGCAAAAGAAATTTCCCTGTCAGCTGTACTGAGTTCTAGAACAAAATATAAAAAAGCCTAATAACATCCCAAACCAAAACAGACTGGAGGATTCACTAACGGAAATAAAAAGTTCTAAATGTAATCCTTGACATATGACTATAATGGAGCTTTCCCATTACAGTTGAAAGTTGTAATGCTTGTAAAACAGGTCAGTCATGTGACTGACACAATTTTACAACATTTTTGCATCAGCCTTTAAGTAAACCAATGGTTTGCTATGGGCACAGTTTTGCCAACACCCAGAAGTGATGGGGTTTTTTTGCAATGGTCATAAATGTGGCCGTATTGCCGAACATCCAAAGTTTGGCCATGTGACCACAGAGGGAGTCTGATCACCAGACCTTTGAAATCCAGGTCATAAATTCCCTTTTCAGGTAGGTTGCAACTTTAATGGTCGCTAAGTGATAAGTCGAGGGCTACCTGTAATCTAAACCTTCCAGAGATCTTTGCACAATTCGTCTTCTGGTCAGAGTTTGCAGCAGCAGGACCCGCAACGTTCACTCCCTGGACATAGTAGCAACAATTTCTTCTCGACATTATTGCTTATCCCCATACCTGAACCCCCATACAATTTACCTGATTGTCGACGTCCAGACCGATTCCGTTTAAGGATATCTTCAGGCTGTTGGCATGATAAGGACTTCTTCAAGTGCTCAGGGCTGTATTTGAAGTGAGGAGGATCTGAAAGGAGTAGGCGCATGTTCAATTATGTCTGTTATGTGTGACCAGAATGACACATGAGGGAATGGAAATTTAATACTATCTGGATCTGGGTCTTAAAAATAACACAAGCCCATGTTACCTCCTGATTTACAAGAACAAGTACCATTTTACTCTTAATCCACTTAATATTACATCATACAAAGAAGCCAAGACAGTGACAAAGATATTACCAGTAAATTACAGGAGACAGAACTTGGAATAGCTATAAGGGATGATGGATTCACATTCTGTTTATTATTGCTTTTTCCATCCTGTAAAAATTCCCTCAAATTAATGAAATAATCTAACCCTTAATACTGAACTTAACCTCTCCAGATGGGGTGTTATAATAAATTTTTCGACTGCTTGTACTGATGATGCAATGGACAGGAAGAATGAAACAGGAAACAGACATCTGAGACAAGAAGAGAGAAAACTTACAGAACGAGTCCATTTCCAAGATGGCTTCTTTGGCCTGAAGAAAAGGTAGATTTGCTTTTAGTGGTTGAGGTTCACAAACAGAGAAACAAATCTATGATATTGAAATAAAGATATTCCAACCCTTTGTCATCGCCAAAGAAGAGACAGGGAGTGAAGAGGACATATTTCTCTCCACTTAATTTTCATGTGCAAAAAAAGAAAACAAGGACAAATTTTCCTGCTCCAGGCATTAACCTTTAATGCTGTTAAACCCAAACTGCCAACCACAGCATAAGCACCAACATCCACACAGATATATTCCCCATCCCTTTTAGAAGAATTCTTATGTTTAGAAATTATCATTGGGCTTTCAAAGATTTGTAAAGAAGGTAAATATAACTAAAAGGATTCAGGGAAAAAATACATAGGAGCAGTAAGATGTCTCCAGGCGGATTGAACTCCCAACAACCCCAGCCAGCATGGTCAATGATTTCACTAGGTGCTATTTTGTTGGTCAAATTTAGGTATCACCCTTCTCACTCACTACTTCCCTTCTCCATGCACAAAATCTGATAAAATCTGAGAATATGCATGGTGTCCTCCAGGCCATCAGACTTTAAATCCGAAGGGCCAGATAGACTAGGGACAATGGGAGTTCTAGTGCAGAACACCTAGGGAACATGACCAAAGTGCTTCAGAAAAATTCTGATATCTAAGACCATTAGGGAAAAGGGGAAACGATACCCACTCACTTTCTGAGGGATTATGGCATGGTGATTTTCTAAGATCAGGCGCTTGAGGTGGTGAGTCCAGACCCGCTTCTCATCTCCTGATTTGGCCTGGTAACAGAAGTACACTCCATCAGTTTGAAAGGCAGTTGGTGTACATGTGATCCTACCATAGTTCAGCCTTCTGACTCTTCCTATTCTTTGCTGTTTTTGCTTAAAGCGTGCATTTCCCCCCCCCCATATCTGCTCATTATTTCCAACCCTACCTTCTCCTGCATTTAATAATTCAAATTTCATTCCTATGGATTGATTATCTCAATGTGCTCTTATCATGTGATGCTGCACTCCAACCCTAAGCTGTTTTTTTATTGCTTACCTTATACCTTCTTTCTTCAAACACAGCCTGATCCCTGCATTTGCCACACAGAAGCCCATAACTACTTATTTTCTCAGTCTTTTCTGTGGGTTTTTCTAATTCCCTCACTTCTGCTAACATTGCTGCAAGCAGATTGTCCAGCCTGAGCTTCAAGCCCATCACCTTCACCAACCACCGTCCACACACTAATTTTATCAATGGGTCTTCATCTCACCTGAATGTTATACTGCTGCTTGTTATGCTTGTAGTGGGTGACCGTGAAGCAAAGTGAGTCGCGTGTGCTCTCAATCAGCATCAGAGAGGAACACTGTAGGCCAGACAAATAACACTTAAAAGTGACACTAAGGCCATCTTTATTTTATTGGGCCAGAAAAGTGCACGGCCGGGTTTACTTTGTACATAATTTTAAAAAGCTGTTGTGGGTGTTATGTCCTCTTAAAATGGGATGGTATTGTTAGTGCAGAAAAAGAAAGGGTTAGGGTCCTTTAGCTCAAGAGAGTTTACACTAGGGCTGGGAATAGTCTTTGCACTACATTTAAGCAGTTTGTATAGTACTGAAGCATAAGCCAAGGACACTCAAAGAAGGGCTGGAGAGGGGTATCTTTGGCTAGGAGGAAATAACAATAACATACTTAACTAGTTTAATCATTAAATTAACAATTTAATAATAATATTCATCTAGAACAGCAATTATCTTTAACTTTGCCTTCACCATCTCTACAGTAATGCAAATAACACACACACATACACACGTGTGTGTATCTGCATTGTATATGTATATATACAAATGTATGTGTGTGCGCGCGCGCATATACCCAGAGGCGGCGGCTGCATTGATCCACCTGCCCCCTCTTGTTTTCTGCTGTCTACTCATCCATCTTTCTTACATTGTTGTATTCTTGTGTTCTTTTTCATAGTTTACTTTATTGTTCTATTATCTTACTTTTGTTTACACTCTTTTCATTTCTTCCTTTTCGTTATTGTAAACTACCTCGAGTAGCCTTGTAGTGAGATAGGCAGCAAATAACAAATAAATATCATTTTTTTCAAGGACAACAAATTTATCCTTTCAACCGAGTATGAGTTTTGAAAAGCCTCATTTTTACACTTCTGGCTTTTTAGATGGGGAAAGGGCTGCATGTGATGAAAAGGCAGCATTGGAGGGAGGACCCATCCAGGCAGAGGTGTTGGTCTTGTGGGCCTCTACGGGGCATTATAAATTCACATCAATTTCAGCTGTCAGAAAGAAAATTTTAGCCAACAAAGGTCAGTCTTTTCACCATTTCTTGCTTCTTCTATCTCATCCTGATGGCTAAGTTATCAAATTCTCAATCTCATTTTAAAAGAACAGGACAAATAAACACCCATTTCTAATGCAAAAGAGAAGCAGAAAGGATGTCCCGCTTACTGGAATGTGACTCTTGCATATGTAGTGATCACCCCGTTTCTTAGTTATCAGCAAGATCTTGTCCAAAAGGAAGAATGTTCTCTCGTTCCTGACACGATGTACCCGGAATGTGCCCTCTAGGACAAGCTCACCATAAGTTGTCAGGTCTGGGCCCTTCCAGTTGATAAGTAAGGACTGGATTTCCTGCAAAGTCAAGGGAAAATGTAATGCCTTTATATGTTAGCCCCCCAGTATCCTAGTGATTTTCCAAATGTGCCGGGAAGGGTGGTCATAGGAATGAGTCCAGAACAACTGGAGGACAGCAGACTGGAAAAACTTGCAAGTCTATCAAGAACCATTTGAAGGAGCTCAGAGAAAATATTTGGGTTTGTTTTTTTTAATAAGTTGCTTGAATCTTACAGCAATTTATTGAAGAAATTTTTCAACAGAATTAAAATCAGCACATATTTTGAATTAAAGAAGAATGAAGAAAAGTAAATAAGAGAAAAAATATAAGGGGAAAAGAAAAGGAAACGGGAGATTCTAAAGAAAAGAATTCTGATTTTCTTGACAGCAGTTATACATTTGTACTTTACTTTTCCTCGTTAAGGTTACATCATTCTAAGGTTACATCGTATCATGAATATTTGAGTTTCTTTAGAACTGTGTAAGCACCTGAATTTTCAGAGGGATGAACATATTTGACCCTACTACACTGAAGCTACTACAACTACCTACCATCTATGTTTCAGATTGAAAGCAAGATCGGGCTCAAGACACTCCTTTCTCAATACCTGCAGCCGCACGGCATGTTCATGCTTCCGCTTCATGTCATTGATGTACCAAGCTACACAAGTCATGGTGGCAATTGCCTCTTCCACCACTTCATAGCCATCTCCTTCTCTGTCAAAGTGCTTTGCTATCTCCTAGGAGGAAAGCATACTCAGAAAGTTAGCCTGGAGCATTATGGATTTCTGTGAAGAACTTTTAATAGATATTTATTAATTTTCTAGAAAACAAATCAACTCCAGTGATCAGTGGGGTAACTGATGTTTCAACCAGATTGTCTTCCTGTCTGGAAAACAGGTAAGGAATTCTTACATTTCAATACATACCATTCTAAGTAGGTTCACATAAGTTTGATTCCAATGAGAAGTCAAACCTTCTTTTTATATATTCTTTCTTCAGAATCTTTATATAATCTCTCTCTCTCTTTTGGAGCCTTTGAGTCAGCGTTGACTCCTGATGACTACCTGGACAAGTCACTACAATTTTCTTAGCAAGACTTCAGAAGTGATTCATCATTGCTTGCTTCCTAGGAGTCAGAGTGTATGACGGATCACCCAGATGTCTTTGTGCCTATAGTAGAACTAGACCTCTTGGTTTCTCATTTCTAGCCTGGTGCCTTAATCACATACTTGCTCTCTTCAAGGTGATTTATAAGAAATATAGGGTAGGATAGGATAATTACAAATCAACTTAAAAAGAATATTACAGGTCCATCATTAGCACCAAAAGTTCTTTGGTACGTAATGATCCTGACTGCTTTGCAAAAGGCAAACAGGTAGAGGCAGCATGTTTCATAATGCAGGCTGCCACCAAGAAGGTGCACCTCTGAGTACCATGCTTTTAATTGTATGGGATAGGAAGCTTCAGCAGTCCTTCTCAAGATGAACTCACAAGGCCAGAGGAAAGAGTCAATCCTGTAAATCAGGGGTGTTAAATTCAAGGCCCGCAGGTCAGGATGCTTAAATCCGGCTCGTGGGGCCAGCCTGGAAATATCAAAGGACTGGCCTGCGGTGCTTCTGGTGGCTAAAACAGGCTGCATGCGGCCCCCCTGCACCTCATTTTCACCCTCTAAGGTCTCCTGCAGCACAGCTGGCTGAAACCAGGCCCAAACTAGGCCAAAAACCAGGCCCAAAACTGGCCGGAAAACGGGCCCAAAACAGGCCACGTGGCCTGTTTTCAGCCAGCAGAGTGGTGCAGGAGGCATCCGCCCCACCCTGGCCCCTCACTGTTCCCCTGCTGCCGCCCCCCCCCTCCTCCACCAGCCCGCAGAGGAGAACTACAATGCTGATCTGGCCCTTGAAGAAATCCAGTTTGACACTCCTGCTGTAAATGATGGTCTCTGCAGAGCTTTCTAGGTTAAGACCAGCAATCTTGACTTGAGCTCACCAACCTACTGGCAGATACGCAGAAGATTGCTATTACACGACTAAATCCACTTTTCTCTGTAGCAGTTGGTCAAGTGCCGTTTGGATCAAATGCATCTTTCAATTTTCAAGTCTCATGTAAAGCATGTTCCAGAATTCCAATCAAGAAGCAATGGGGGGTATGAATCACAGCTCTCTCTATTGTAGAAATTAATTCTACATATCGCCATGTGTGTACCACATCAACCAAACATTATTTAAGGGAGAAATGGCCTTTCCTGGAACAGGGTACTGTAGAGGTAGCTGTTACTATTTTAAGAAAAATAAGCAGACTGCATTTCAAACTTTTTAAAAAAAGTTAAAACAGATTCCAAAACTTCAGAATCAGATAACGTAAGCAACCTGTTGTGAAAGTCTGTGTTACCTGGAGAAGCAGATGATATTTGAGAATGCGCTGGACAGGCTTGAGAAGGTAGGAGCCAAGGGGCAAGGAGTGCCGGATTTGTTCCTGCCTTTCCCGAAAGAATTTGGCCAGTTGTTTGTTCCTCATACATTCAGTCAGAGCTGCCACAGAGCTGGAAAGTTAAAGCCGATACACAATGAATGGCATCAAAGAAGACAACTGCCTGTATTCTCTGAGGGATGCAGTGACAGATCTGCTCAAAATAGCAAGTGAAGGACTGCAATAAGGGGATAAAACAACGAGCCAGAGGATAACCAGCGGCAGCCAAATCACTTCTTGTTGCCGTCCCCTTAATGTCTCCTTCTCTTTGGCTGGGATCACACAGCTGCCACACAAGCCCACAAAAAACACCACTTCTTGGATCAACAACTACACTTTGTTCCAGATTTATAAAATCAACCATTCCTGCAAAGTTTTTACAGAAAAATCTGGAACCACTTCTGGCCAGATCTAACAATTATTAACAGGTCCCTGTGTATATTCAGTGCCACCTAATTATTAGTCTTGGGGAAATCTTTTGTAACTGAGCAGAATTAATTTCTAGTTCAGCTGCTGCTCGAGAGAAAATGCTACAAAGACAGTATTCCCACTGGAGCTGCAGGGTTGGCATTTTCCCACTGGGGGGAATACCTAGCTCAATTGGCTTTTGCGTCACAACACTTGAGCGCTATTTCCTTGTTCTTTCCGTACAACTGGAAATGGTGCTGCTGTTTCCATACTGAGCGGCTGTGTTAACCCCTCACTACAAAACAAGCATGGTAGGTCAAGGATGGGGACTGGGCTGTTTGATGGAGTGCAAAGTCAAAATATGTGCTGGACAATTTGCAAGGTTTCTCAGCAGTGAAATACTTCTGCGATGGTCCAAGTATGATTCTGTGTATTTGTGGGAAAGAGTGGTTATGCAGCAATGCCAAATGAATCAGCAGCTGAAGGATGAGGTCCTTGACTTACAAATAGTTACTTATCAGTCCTCACTTAGTCAGGGCTCTGGGCACTATCATGTGATCTTGCCCAAAGATGTGGGTGCATTCCCTAACCCAATTGCCCATAATCTCAGGAATTTAGGTAAAATAGCTGAATTTACTTAACTCTAATTTATCTAGAGGAACAATCTGGATGCCTGTTGACACTGCATTGCTGACCCTCAAAACAAGCTGGAAAAGTTAACTCTTAAGATTTGAGACACCTTGTCATTGAATATGACTTCAATATACTTTCACAATATATCTTTGTCCTATATACAAACTATTCTTAGCATACACAGCGATGACCCAGAAGCATTTTGCAACATATGTAAAAAGATTCTGTTCATAGAGAGAATGAGGCTGTCCCTGTTCTCACGAAATCACGTCCCCTTTTTGCCTTGCAAAAGACACTCACTTCGGATAGTTATTGCAGTATTGAGTGTAGATGTTGAAGTCTTGGCTCTGTTGGGAAAAGAGAAGAAAGATCCATAAAACATGTTCACTTCACCCTGTTCAACCGTTCTACAAATGTTTCTGCCAGATGTCCAGCACAGATAACCAACACCAACCTCACCGGGTATGTTTAGGGGAATAATTCCTGGACTAGCACTTATGATGTTACCGAATTTGGGTAAGGAAACATTTGCAAGAAAACAAGCAAGCTCAGAGAACATTAAGGATTCCTAGCCCCTGTTCTCTTTGATGCATAGCTGGGCAAAATTTTCAGCCGCCAGACTACCGCTAATTCTTTCACCCAGGAGAGCAGATGGTCAATCTTGGCTTTTAGTGATTTTAAGAAAGTCTCTTAAGAAAGAGAAAGGTGTTTCATTTCTGAAAGATGTGGTACTCCCATCCCTATCCTTCCCTTCCTGCTTCTGAGCCAAAAGTCCTGAAATGCAGCTTCCCAGTGATATTATGTCAGGCTGCTTCAGGGCCTGTGGACTTCTGCTTTAATGGAAGCAACCCAGTGAAGGGTGACAAAGCATTCGTTCAGAGAAGGGGGTGCTGAACCCCCCAATTATGCACAATCAGAGATGAGCATAAAGCAACATCAGTTTTATCTGCTTACCCTGTGTACAAAACACTGCGCCACAGCAACGGGGTCATTGTGGCAACTATCCAGTTCTTGCAGTAGTTCACTGCATAGAAATTGAAACAGAAAGAATAATTTATCAGTCAGCTCAAGATTAAAAAAAGAAACATGTGATAGAAACTGAAAACACACCCTCACTTATACATACATCCACATAGCAAACAGGGACATGCTGGAGACAAACTTCAAAACAACCCCTTAATACACTGCAGTTTCAGAATTAAATGCAGAACAGCAGGCCATGCAATGGGTTTGGGCCCAGTACCCACCTGCACAAGGGAAGCCTGTCCACCACTGTCAAAGGAACCAAAAACACAAGGCAGATGTTATATAGAAAGAGGGGACACACACTAGCTGAACAACCAGCTGGTTCTTACTCAGGAGCCACTTATATAGTATAGCTGTTAACATTAATAAATTTGGGGTCCTAAACTGAGAATTACTGTACTAAGTTTCTGATAGAGGCAAAGTAATGAGGTAATTTCTGCCCTAGGGACTTACAAGTTTAAGAAGAAAAATAAACACAGGAGAGGAAGCAGATTTGCAAAGTTGGCATGGAACACCTAGTAGCAAATTGGGCTCAATCAGCCCCTTGCTCCTTTGGTTCCTTACAGTTTACTACTCACACACAGAAGACTGTTACTTCTCTGCTCTAGGTGTTTCTAGCCAATCATGATAAGAAGATGCTGTTCTTCACTATAGTGAGGCTGTTTGAACCAGTTCTGGTTCACACATAATACCAAGCCATGTTTTCAGGTTCATCATTATATGCAAACCATACCATGAGTACCAAACTCTGTAGTAGCCTAATATACAAAACCAAACCAAACTGATTGATTCCTGGGTGTTGGTGAAACATCTAGCTTGGCTTTTACTTCTAATAAGCCAAAGTAAAAGGAGACATAATCTCTCTCTGTATGGATTGGTTGTTTAAATCTGGTGGAAAGTGAGAAACCTAAATCAGTGACAGCAAAGACTAGCTGAAGGCAATAACTATTGCATCACCCAAGGCTGTCTCAGTTGGATGGGTTGAAGTGGTGGTACAGAGCTTTATGGGAGTAGCTTTTTTCCTGCCATGCTTTATATTTCAGAGAGGACTGAACCTTTATAGGTGAACTGTGTAAAGTGAGCAACAATTGAAATGACAGGGAAGCTCTAAGGACTATGTGTTATACTCACCTGTTCAGCTCGTAGATGTCTTCAATGTTCCCAAAGAGTGCGCTGACTTGTTCTGGCCGCAATAACAGCTCCTGAGTATCTATGATCTTCCCCAAGTAATTCTGCCAAGTCACATTACACCATGAGCATCATCATGAAAACAGGAAGCAAGAAAAGAGGGCAGACCACCACCACGAGTTCTGACCCAATATTGTGGTAATTGTGGGGGTGGTACCCTAATAACCAGCTCCTCAGGGGAGAATTTATCTTCCCTTGATCATAGCTCCCACTGGACAATTTTTCATGCTTGCACTCTGCCCAGGCACTTCTATCAAGAAGCCATTTCCTTTTCATATAGTATTCCTGATAGCAGATTAGCACAAAAATCACTGCGGGAGCTTTAAATCATGAGGTAAATCATTTACCCACAATGCATCACTTTCACATAATCTGACATGACAGGCAAAAGGTCTTCCATGAAACTGTGTGGGAAAATGGCCAGGATACTATATTCCTATGTGGAAAGGGAACAGTGAAATCCATGGCTGATAGGAAGGCATAAAGGCACTGCCCAGACACAGAGTGGGAGTACTTTTAAAATGAAACGAAAGCAGCTTGAAGTTCTACAGTTCTTCCCAGCTTCCAATCTAGACGACCAAGTTCCCTCTTGGTTAGAGGAAGACTTCAGTGGGCAAATTTAGATGAAGGGAGGACCTTAAGGTATCTACGGTGTGGCAGTGAAGTGATGTACACAGCCCAACAGGCACATTAATCGCACTCACCTCTATGATGCTTCGTAAATCCTGCACATACATGCGTTCGGATTCCACAATCTCCAAGAGAACCCGCTCTAGATAGCTTAGTTTAGAATGAGAGGCAGCCGCAGAAAGAGAAGGGCTCCTCAGGCCTCTCCAGGGCCCTGAAGAGGCATTGTTGTTGGCATTGTTCAGCACTCCAGTCTTCAGGAGCGCAGAAGCATCCAAAGGAGTTTGCGCCATGTTCTTCCAGTCATCCAAAATACAGGGAGCATTGATTAAAGCTGCAGGCAACTGCCTCATTGAATATTCTGAGACATTCATGCTCAGGGCAGTTTAAACTGGGACTCCCTCATCTCTGCCAGGATATGGGACATCCAAGAACCTGGAATTTTCTGAGGGAAGAAAAAACTTATTTTAAAACTGTGAAATGTTCCTCTGTATCTCAAGATGCAGTAGTTATATAACTAAGGAGCCATTTTAATTTTTTGTAATCAATGGGCATTAGTAACCTCTAGATTCTAGTCTATATCAGAGGCATCAGAACACACCAGGCTAATGGGAAAAGAGGTTGCCTGCTCTGCTGGCTTCCTACACAAACTCAGATCCTAAGAGTGCCTGAAACTGCTGTTGTCACAAACGTAAGAAACACTATTTACATACAGCACACATATCGTGAAATGATCTAGCCTACTGTTAAAAGATGGCTGCACATGGAAAGGTACATGTCTAATTTCTGATGGCTTCAAACTATTTATTAAATAGTTCTTTCCCTTATTTCCATCTGACCCAGGGCAAAAATAAAACAATAACCCCAAAATGATACAAATCTATCTGAACAAAATCCAGATGTATTAAAACATGTTTAGCATCACAATCATACGTTGCCTTTGTTAAAATGAAAATTATTGAAATGGGTTGGTCTTTGATCATAAATCTCCCATGAAGCAGCAGTGAGGGACATAATTGTCAACACACTCAGAACCTGAAAGTGAGCTGCTGATGAAACCTACTTGGAGCCTTTTCTGATTCCAATCCCCTGTTAACAGCCATTTGCTGGATTACAACTCCCCCATCTCCAGCTAGCCTGGGAAAAGTTCACCATCTTAAATGGAACTCAGCATTTCACAACCCAAACACATTTTCTCCACAGTACCGGTACATGTCCTGCCATGCCGCATGCTCTCCACCAAACCCTTAAGAGGCTTAGCAGGCAGACAAACAAGTGGCAACAGGCCTGTGTTGTATAGGAACCATATACAATCCACTGCAATTAGTTTCATCTCTCTCTCTCCAGTTTCCCTCCCATTTCCACAAGATGATTTGTTCTGCCTCAAAGTCAACATCTCAAAATTCTTCTGGGCCTTTGTATGAAAATTACCTTGCTTTCTTACAGAAAAACCCATCGCATCCTCACCAAACACTGGAAGGTTCTCCAGGGTATTCGTCTCCTCCCAGACCAGCATCATTCATCATCTCAGCCAGACACTGTAGATGCTAAATGAAGCACGGAGCAACCTGTGAACCCTGAGTAGCCAATGAAGGTGTGGAGCCTTTTGATGTCACTTCTCGAAACCACTCCTCTAGATAAGCACCACACCTCAAAACTGACATACTATATCCCCACTAAGGACTTTGACCAAGACACTTCTTCCTCCTTTTCCTACAAACATAGGAAGGGAAAAAAAGATGCTCAGCTATTCTGGTCAGAAAATACACAGAAGTGCTGTCATGTGTTGCCAAGCCATTTAAGTAGCATCTACACTAATTATGGATTTCCTCCATTTTTCAAGTGGCCTAAGAGCCATGGGTATATGTAAATGAAGCCATTCATCACAAGCAAAATCCCAAATGACTCCTCAGGAACTCTTTGAAGATGGTTATTTTCCAATGTCACCTAAAATTTAATTGTATATTCTCCACTCTTAATTATTCATTTTGATTTAGCCAAAAATATACTGCAGATATATCAAATATTTCCTACTAAATGTCACAAGTTAAACAAAATAATCTGTTTCAATCTGTTTATGAAACATCATAAAAGCAAAATGAAACACAGTGAAAGCTTTTGCTCATCACCACCCATAACAAGAATGTCTAAGAAATCTTTTTGTTTACTAACTAGAGACCCAACTGGAAAAGGATACCTTTCTCTAAAAAGAAGACCATGTTATCTTGATTTTTTTTTTTGTTTAACAAGGAGGCTTTGAATTCGCAAAGCTTGCTTGATTTCTAACCGTTCCAGTGTGCGAATCTACACAAAGATTGCACAAATCTCTTGTCCTAATCACCGTGTCTGGAAAAATCCACACACAGGTTACTGGCAAGGAAAGAATTTCACACACAATTAGAAGCAGCTAAGATTCTTTTGCATGTGTCTAAAGCAGGCTTTATATTATAGGCTTATATATTATCCTTTGGACTGTCACACCCAGAATTAGCAAGACTAATTGCAGCAAACCTGAAGGGATACCATGGTAGGGTAAGTTGTTTCTGAAGGAAAGAGAAAAATAGGCAAACATGTTTGCATGCTGATGTGACGTGCTGGGTCACTATTGTGGTAAACTTGAACTTGAACTTCATGGAACTTACTAATTTCCAAATTCAGCATTACATGATTTAATCTTTAAAAGCCCAACTTCTTAGCCTAATATGCAGCATGCCCTCTGTGTCAAAAATGCCTCTTAGGTAAATCTGATTCAGACTAAAATTTGAGGTTATACTGGTAATTATTAGATCTGGGTAGGAATAATCAGGTCCTTCCTTCCAAAAAGCAAGCAAGAATTGGTGTAATGGTTAAGGCTTCAGGCTAGAAACTGGGAGATCCTGAGTTCAAGTCCCACCTTCACCATGAACATCAGATGGGGGATTTTGGACCAGTCACTCGCTCTCAGCCTAACCTTCCGCACATGTTTGTTGTTGTGGGGAAGACAGAAGGAAGAAAATGTGTTGGATATGCTCACCATCTTATTTGTAAATAAAATAAAGATAGGCTACCTATCTATCTTATCTATCTATCTATCTATCTATCTATCTATCTATCTATCTATCTAT